CTGCCCCTCCCCTGCTCATGCTCTGTCTCTGCCTCAAAAATAAAATAAAAAAACATTAAAAAAAAAATCTTTATAAAAGTCTAAACTACAAATTTGTGAGCCCCAAAAGCTTACATGGATTCTTATGCCACATGAGGAAACTGAGGTTCAGAACTGAGATGATAGCCCAAGGTTACACAACTAGTGAGCGGAAGTGGAGTTAGAACCCAGGGTAGTCAGGTTCCTCTTGTTCATTCAAGAGCTAGTTGAGCGCTTCCTTTGTGCTCAATTTTCTTCTAGAAACTAGGGATGCATTGGGGAACAACTATCTATCCTCAAGTATCTTTATTTAAAATTTTTTTTCAAATGTTTGTTTATTTGAGAGAGCAAGAAAGTGATCATGAGTGGGGAAGGGGCAGAGAGAGAGAGAGAGAGAGAGAGAGAGAGAGGGAGACAGAAAATCCCAAGCAGGCTCTGTGCTATCAGCGCAGAGCCCGACTCAGGGCTCCATCAAACAAACCGTGAGATCCTGACCTGAGCTGAAATCAAGAGTTAGACACTTAACTGACTGAGCTACCCAGGCGCCCCTCAAGTACCTTCAATAAGTACAGGATACTGCCTCCTGTCCAAAATCAACTTTTTCAGCTACTTACCAAACTAATTAACAATGCATTGACTGTAATAGCAAAACTCCAGACAATCCAAATGCCCATCAATAAGAGATTAACTTTATGTTATAACGACATCTATATAAGAGAACACCATGCAGCAACAAAAAAAAGCTATAAATGAGGAGCAATCTCCTACGTATTATATGGAAAGCTTTCTAAGACATACAATTAATTTAAAAAAGAGATACAGATCAATATAGTCTTTGCTAATTTGCTAACATTTGTATTTTTAATTTTGTTTGAAAATACCTTTGAAGGTAACCCCCAAACTGGGTTTATAGGTGGAAAAAACAGCAGGTAAGGAACAGAGATGAGTTTTTCGGTACACTATTCTGAATTCTGACCTGCATGAATGCAGTAGTTATTCAAACACTGATACAAAAAAAAAAAATT